GGTCTTCAGACCCTTATCGGATCCTAAAATCTCGGCCAGGGTTTTAATGCTTGTCAAGTGGGCGGCGATGGATGATTGCTGTGCCCTGCTCAGGCTACCTGCAGACAGGTTCTAGGACTTGGGCGGCGCAACAAATCAAACACCAACAGTGTTGCTGCAGCACTCCGACTAATAAAGGCCCAATGTACCCACAACCGTCCACAACCCTAGGTCCAAAAACTCCAAACATCTCTACTGAACTATTGGGACCAGTACATAACCGCGTTTCATTTTTGTATCCCAGCCGTCGGCCGTTTCCGTTGCCAGGATGATGGTCCACGAGCTCGATTGGGGGCTGGTGCTGTGGAGGTGGCTGCATTGATGCATCATATTGGTACTCCAAAACTCGGCGACCCCGTAATACCCCGACGTCCCCCTCCCCAAAAAAGGATCCCTACTCCTTGGAAACCTGCACTGTGACAGAGCCCTAAGTTTCATAAGTACACGTATGTCACCATGTGCTTAACTTGGGGGATGTCAGCCACAGCGAGAGTTCGTAGGCTTTTGAAAATAGCTTGGCACAGGCTCTGCAGCGGCGATATCAAATTCGCACGTACTTCGATGCAGACGTGCAGGGGTGCCCGCAGCGCTAAATGGAACCTAAGCACGCCTAAACACGGGTTCACGGTGTGAGGGGTAGTCGAGTTAGTAGAGCTCATAGTTTGAAAAGTCAGAGACTGAAGCTCACCAACCTGTCTACAAAAAGCTTCGGGTACACTGGTTGTGGGCCGTGTGTCAGGACCTCGTTTTCAGGTGTTGGCCTTCTGTGTCGGGATGATTTGGAGATTGTCGCTCAGGGCTTGCAATCCTGTGATGTGACAAAGCTTCGTGTGAGTTGGCGTCTCCTATAGGGCTTGTCCTGAGGACATCATTGTATTTATATCGTTGTCATTCCACGAAGCATTCAAGCGAGGGAGGTTTCAACACATGAAGCGCGGGCTTTCTGTTCAAATGCTTTCCAAGGCTGTCTTTGTCATCAGAGTCTTGGAATGTTTGTGCTCACGTCTCCTTAGATTCCGGACGGAAGCAAGGCATCTTCCCCAATCATCAAAGCAGTAGCTGGAAGCAGCCCCGTGTGAGGCCTCCATACCCCCTAGCTTCCACCCGTAACTCTACCGCACTTGAAACTAGAATGCTGCTGGTAGCGAAAGTGCCAGGGGGAGTAGAAGCCCAGCAGCTTTGAATGCTGTATATACAGTCTGGGTATATGCTCCAAGATCATGAGCTTGCATTGGGCCACAGCTTGAAACAATTAATGACAGCCACGAACGACAATCATGGGCGCTGACCATAAATCTGTTTCGTTTCATCTTTAAATCGATGCAGTAGAAGGAACACTGTGGCAAGACCAAGACCAGGTTCTAACTATACAAGTATTCCTAGCAGGCAAACTTCTTTCGCGCCTGTTGTTTTGGAATCACTTCTTTCCTGAGTTGTATGCCCTTTGAGAATCCCGTTTTTTTTGACAGGTACATGGCGACCTGCAGAGCAAGCCTGGACAAGTCGGGCCGCGCGGGGGTCCAGAAGATTCACCTCATGCAGCCCCTGCTTGAGCACGATACTGATGTCGGAGCCCTGTGGGAACGGAAGGAAGACAGTAAGAGTACCAGCAGCAGTCATTGTAACAGCAGCGGCACCAGCAATGGCAGTAGCCGTAGCAATCGTACTAATTATTCATTGTAATTGTCATGATGGTAGAGCCGTTTTGCAAAAATGCTTCAATCGCACTGGTTGCCGCTGGTACTTGCCCTTGGCGCCAAACAGAGCAAGATACTCATCGAGATTCAAACCCGCTTGATACGCCTTCATAGCCTCGAATGAGGAACCACAAAGAACAGCTCTTGATTGGCTTGCTCGAGCATCATTAGATCAGGGGCACTCGTGCCCCTGCACAAGTCTTGAGCCGGGTCCTTCTGAGGATCCTGCATGCAAGCGGCTGTAGGTGGCTTTGATTTTGGTCGAAGGTGCTCAAGCCTGCATGAAGCAGCACTTGCTATCTGCATCTATGACCAACGACCGAAGTTCCGGAATCAGTGCCATGTTGCCATGTTATGAAATTTCTGGATCACCCTACTCAAGACGAATTACCACTGAATGTCAAACACACCAATGTTGATTCATGGCATCCTGCATTGGTAAAGATGCAGAAGGTACCACAAGTTGCAGGGTATACGGTGCTGAGTCGTCGTCTAGTCTAGTCGATCCACAGTCTTACGGCCTTCTAGTCCAGAAGCGTCACACACCACTCCTCAGATACCTTGCGCTCGGTGTTCAGAACTCATGCATTCGTGATGGGCATGCGCTGGAGCTTCTGCTGCCGCCGCAGTCCTGGTGCCAGGCAGCAACTGCAGGACGATTTTGTTAAAGAATTGAACGTTGAATTAGGGATGGCATGTTGCTTATACAAAGGTTATGCAGGGCTGATGGGGTCTTGCGAACTTTCTGCAATCGTGGGCCCATTGAAATTTCTTACAGTTATGCATTCATTGTGTGAGAGGCGGTCTGACTTGTTTCGTTGTGATGCCTTTGATGAGCCGGGTTTTAATACTTGCTTGCAGCCTCAACTTAAGAAGATAGATGCAGGAGCAATGTAGAGACCCACGTGTGATTTGTACATGCAGCGCGCAGTTTCAGGGTACTGCCATTCATGTCAACCAACTCCGGAGCCACTTGGATCACGGCTGACCTGCTGCAATTTGCGTTTTGATTTCAGTGTCGGTGAGACCTGCTGCAGACCACGCCCAATTCGGAGTCCATAAACCCTCAACCCCCGAATTAAAATGCCAAATTGCAAGCACATCACTGAACCCTGGATCGCTGCAGCCTAAACCGCCCTTGCTTCTGTGGTCTACAACATCATTCCATCATTTCCATGAGAAGCCCCTAAAAATGATGGCAATCCTTTTCTCCAGGCGGCTAAGAGCCTTTGCACAGAGTCGCCGTGAGCGGCTGCATTCCGCTCTCCAGGATGAGGCAAGGAGGGAAATTCAGGAATTAAGGGCCTTTGTACCTGGCGGATAGGAAGCATTTGAAGCTACGGAACGTTGCATTTAGGGTTTAGCTTCATCAGCAGAGAAACAGGGCGTGGATCCCAACAGACGGCCTCTAAACTCCTTCTATAATTTATGCGTTTCCTACTAAGCATTGGGTGTTTGGGGTTTGGGGATGCTTGCGGATTTAGGAGTTTGGGGTAATGATGGGGGTCCAGAGTAGGTTGGGAGGTCTAGGGTTTGGGTTGTGGTTGTGGGTTTGGGGCACAGGGTCATGCCGAAGCTGTTGAAGACATGTAAGCGCAGCACTCTTCCCCACCTGTTGTACTGCCTCTTCAACTCTCTCATGTAGTCTTCCTGTTGCCGGAGGTCCGGGTGCTGCTGAAAGAGGCCAACGCCGAAGGGTCTGACGAGCCGGGCACAGCTGCCGATGTACATCAGCAGTGCCTGAAGGAGAATGAAGTCGTTTGCAGGCTTCAGCCTTTTCTGCACTTCCGGTCTTCTTGTTGTGTTCTGGAAGAGGGATCTTCAGCAGCCCGAGTGTAGCAATGCCAAGAGTCCCGCATGCTGCTGTCCGATTTGGTGACTTGAATGATGCTCTGTTTATCTCGAAGTTGAAGAAATTGAAAATGGACCTCATGCGTCTGGAAGCTTGTTAGTAAGCCGCGTGCCCATTGCAATGACTCAGTAGGTGCCCTTCCTGGAACACTCTGTGAGGACTTTGACCGATGCACATACCAGGTGCCGACTGCTTTTCTGGCTTGGGGTTGGTAGGACGCAGCAAGGATACGCAGGCTACCTAGAAGGTGTATTACCTGGACATCTATTAACTGCACACCAGGTGTTTCTCCAGTTCCAATTTCGGCCTGCCTACTGGTGTTGGCATCCACGCAAGATCTAGTCAAACCTAAGTCGGAGAGCAAACTGACCCTCAAAAGGGAGTGGATAAAAAACGGCATAGATTCTGGTCTGGTGTCCAATGCAATCTTCATGTTTTTCAGCATCGGCGGGCGACATGCGCGCAATTAAGTTCCAGTATCTGCTGCAATTCTGCAACACTCCATTACCCCTACATCAAGATGGACTGCACAGTTTTTTTGTTCGCTGCCTGTTGTCATCGCGCGCTCTCGTGACTTTGTTTCTGCTTGATCCTGTGATTATCAACAAATAATGCAGCGGAAGTACCATTAGCACCCTCGCCGTGAAAGTTTTTCTCATTTGTTTGGTACCATGATGGTCTCCATCAAAACATAATCAAAGGGTTCAGCATTACCATACTTGCCAGCATTCATCCATGAAGAAGCCAAGAAATCTGTTCGACCCTCGGCCTGTGACCGTGCGGCCTCCATACCTCGATTCAGTTCTGAGATTGGGACCGCGACCTTCCAGCCTGGTGAAGCAGCGGATTCCGGAGACTTTGCAAAGGCTGGAGTTTAGGGCTCATCCGCTACTGGAAACTTGAGACATACTGACTATTTTTTTATTGTTGACTTGTAAGTGCCCTTGGAAAGCTTGTTTCATGTGCATGCGCTGTGATGGTATTTATGATTCGATGTATTGAATTCAGGAAAGGTACATGCCCAAAGCCTCTGTTTGTGACGGCAGGCTCGGCAAGAATTCGCCAAGCGGCTCAGCTGGGGCCTGGGCACATCACATTTGATCTTTCAAAGCTTCAGAACCATGCAGCATTTCGGAAGTGTCTTGAATCTTCTCGTTGCACCTGGTGCTCGCAGATCATGTTAGTCGCCACCTGTAAATGCTGAAGCATGCAACATCCACGACATATTCAGTCTTGTGCACCTACTATACATTGTAAAGCGAAGAAAGAAGCAGGAGACTCAAGAGACTCATGGATAGCGATTTTGGAACAAACGCTGAACGCATGTGACTCCGCTGTCCAGTAGCGTAGCGAATGCGATGAGGCCGCAGGTCCGCCTGAACGTTACTGGAGAAGGTTTGGATGTTGGAGTCATGGAACCTGGAAGTACTATCAGCCAGCTTCAGGAGCGCGTTTTTGAAGTGCTCCGCTACCAGCGAGGGTGGCCAGTGATTGGGGCGAGTTCCGTGCGTGTCTTAACAGACTCGGGGTTGCAGCTTCTTGCGGCTCAGAGCCTTGATTTTGCACAAGAATATGCTATTCAGGTGGAAACCCTAGACTGGCAAGATATGCTGGATGCGCTCAATGACGTGCCTGAAGTGGCTCCGTTACGGCATGAATTAATCGAGTTGTCCCAGGAGCTTGTAGAAGACTCGCCTGATCTTACTGCTGGGAGCACAGTCGAATTCGGCGATGCTGTACGCAGTATTTACAAGCTGGTGAACCGCATGAGAGGACCACAACCAACACGCGGCGACACTGATGTGAATGATCGCCTTGCCAAGCTATGCTCGGGTATCCTCAATCTCGTCTGTGAGAGTCCTAGAAATGGACGCTTGCTGCTGGAGCGTATCGAGCAGGAATATGGGTATTTGCTTGAAGATGACTAGCTTCCACTGATGTTCCGGCACAGGGAGCCAGAGGAGACACTGGGATGTGCCGGGTGAGCACCTCAATGAATGCCGTCAGATTTTGACAGACTTCCTGCCGTCCTGCTGAGCATAAGCTGGAAACGTTTCAGACAAAGCTTGCGTGACAGATTGGTCGCATGAAAATGGACCGTCACTTTCACATTGTAGCCCTGTTCAGCTGTGTTCTTGAAGCAGGGATGATGGGTTGATACTGCCGCGGAACTTCATGTTGTGGCACGCTTTGAGCATGTCTTAGTGCGTGGCTCGTGCCGCTCAAGTTCAACGCAACTTCAGGTTTGGTTGTGCGTCTTGACGTTTCCACCTTCATCTGCACAAGAGTCATTCGTAACTTTGATCCAAAAGCAGTGCGGCTGCGCTCGCGGAAGCGTGGCAGGACCGCACTTACATACACCTGTCGCAAAAGGTGCAACCTCAAGCAGGGACACCTTTCAGAAGCGCCCGCATCACGGTTCTTCTCAAAGACCATAAGCCGCCCCTCCCTGGCAAACCTTCTGAGACTTCCCGATTTGCTGGCGCGAACGGATTGAGAGCCGATGTTTTGATTGGTGAGCTTGCTAGGACAGGACATAATTTAATGTAGAAACGAAGAAGCTAACCATTTTGTCGTTGAAGACTGACCTTGCTCCATGTGAAGCTAGTAAGTCCATCGCACGTGCGTCATGTTTTAGACACATCTAGGCTTCAGGAAATTTGATGTTCATGTCTCAAGGTCTGACAGGGGTCAGCTTGCAACCTTTGAGTGTTCAGAGTGCCTGATTGCATGCTCGTGGCCGCTGGCCCAGACAAGAAGTTTGTTCAATGTGGTGGTCCTTCGATGGATCATCCTCCTTGATGCACATTCGTCGATGGCAAGCTCTCATCTAAGATCTGATAGCTTCGTCCGCCTGCAGAAGCTAGCCGCGAAGCCAGAGTTGAATGGTCAAATTGCTCAATGTGTGCGCTATGTCAAGGATAGGGAAAGATGGCAAGTGCGCATTGTTGGCGGCACTGACTCTGGGACGTTAGCCGTTCGCTCAGCTAACTTGGATGCTTTGGGAACTTTGGGCTGTCAAGCAGGTGGGGGATACAGCCTGAGCAACCAAGACATCACGGCCATGCTGCAGACGTCCGAGGCAATGCTGACAAATGGTGATTACGCAGGTGCCCTCACGCTTCGAGAGAAGCTTTTGGCAACCTGCCTCGAATCTCTTGGCAATACACACACGTTTATTGCAACGTGCTTGAACAATGTGGGTCAGGTGCACGAGAGGCGTGCTCTGGCCATGGACTCAAGTTCATCGAAACAGGCTGACATTGATCAAGCTGAACGGTGCTACCTCGAAGCAGTGCGCAGAAGAATCCGACTGCATGGCTCAGAGCACCACTCTGTGGGCCAAAGCTGGCTGTATTTGGGGAGGTTGTACGCCAATGTCGGCCGTTGGCGCCAGGCTGGACAGGTGCTCCTCGATTCCGCAGAAATTCTTAAGTCTTATCAGAATGATGTAGCGTCACTAAGCCAACTTGGTCAGTTGCTTCCATTGGCCCTTGCTGAGTTGTCCGTCGACGTGGGATCCAGTCTTTGTTTTCACAGGCTTCTCAAAGCATGTGTGGAGTTGCGACGCTTTTCCTCAATAGATGCAACTGAGCAGAGCATGATCGAAGCAGTGGCTGCTTTGGCAGCTGGAAGCTACTTTGAAGCGGAATCCTTGATACAGAGATGTCTTCGTCATGCAAATGTCGAGAAAGATAGTGACCGGGAGGGCTATGTCTGGGAAATGTTGGCAAGCGTATACATGAGACAACACTGCCCTCATCAAGCAGAGCAAATATATAACATGATGCTGGCCCGCGGCATGTTCAGCTCTAAACCGTCCAGTGTCATGAACATGGCACATGTTCTGGCATCAACCTACAGGTGTAAGGAAGCCATTGCAAGCTTGCATGAACTGTTGGCTTCCGAGTCTTTGGCCCTGCGGCCGGATTTGCAGGAAGCTGCTCTTCACAATCTGGGTTGTTACTTGATTGATGATGGCCAGTTCAAGGAGGCTGAGACCATCATAGGCAGATGCCTCACTTTGCGGAAGGAGAGCGGGTCTATTGACTTTGGGACAACCTGTACCAATCTTGGGGTGTGCATTCTCAGGCAGTCGAGAGAGCGGGTGGAGGACGCATTGCCTTTCCTGTGGGAGGCACTGCATCACGAGGAGAAGCTTGCAGCTTCGTCATTGGAGCGACGAGTGGAACTGCTTACAGCATCTTTCAATGTGGCGTTCGGGCTGTTACTTCAAGGTCAGACAGATGACGCTGAATCGCATATGCTGCGTGCGCTGCAGGGTTTGGTTTCCAGTTGCTACTTGGACTTGAGATGAAAGCGGTGATGAGTTTCAGGACTGCCCAGGACTGCTTTAATGTTGGACCCTCTTTAGTATGCCCCAACCCCCCCCCCCCACACACACACACACACACACACTTGACTATTCTCTTTAAGAAATGCCAGGCCACACGCCCCATTTTGCTGCGCAATTAACATCAATAAGTCCTGCCAGTAGCGCTGAAGATGGTATGCGTTTTCGGATCTCCTAGTACTACCATTACATTAAAATCTGTCTAGACCTAATTAAGCGTTTTGTAAATGTATCCCAAACAAGTAAATCCTATTGACATCAAATTTAACTCAAATGGAGGATCTAATGAAGCCCAATTGAAAATCAGAGTAAACTCTAATCAAGTTGTTCAATCAAAATCGATTGAGACTGACTTGAAATCAGTTGACATCCGGTTAGATTCAATTGAAATCTAATGGGCCATGCCCACGCACCTTCCAGCTTCGCAGGAAGTTTCTGGGCTTCGGATTGTCCAATATTTGGCCTTAGAGGTAAAGGCTCTGGCGCTAGAGCTCTGGAATTTGAATCCTTCAAGGCCTGAGTCTCACGGCCTTTAGTTTTAAACGTTTTGCTAAGCAAACCTAAATGAGGTAAGAAAGTTTGTGATCTTTAAGATGTTGGCCCCCAGTTTGTTTTTCTTATTCCGGCCCCCCAAACAGCAGCAGATTCTGAATGATTGACCCGGAAAAATAGAGTTTAGGGTTTAGGGTCCAACAGTTTGCTGATCTCTGCTTGGCTAGGCCTGACCTACTCCAAGCTCGGTTTGCCATTCACTCTGCGGTTCTGCCCGTTTGCCCAAATATTTGCAGCCCAGGATCTCTTTGCTCTTTGCTCCAAGTGAGTTAGCCAGCCCGGGTTTCTGCTGCTGTTGTTCTTCCTCTTCCTGCAGTTGTAACTGTCGGATCTAGTGAAAGCATTACTCTTAGTGTGCTGCCACGTTTACCACGTTTCGCCTTGACGCGCTGCAGGTTGCGAAATGGCTGGGGCAACGGATGTGGGTCGGTCAGGACAACATGTTGCGATTGTTCGTGCCGACATCTCCATCCTTCTGAGCTTTATCCTTCAGTTCAAGCGGAAGAAGGCGGTGCCTATGTTATACAGCCTCTGGAAGATGAAATTAAGTTCTATTTTGAGTGTTGTGGTCCCCTGCAATATATACGTACGTCTAAACTGCATTGCTTCAATTTCGCGCTAGTGCTCAAACAGCATAAGGTTTGCTTCAGTGGGTCAAGGGCATAGGGCTTCAGCTGGAGAGTCTATGTTTGACTCACAATGGAGGGCGTGTTGGCTTGGGTCGACTTGAAAGTTCGACAGGTGAGCAGCGAGCCTTTGCTTGCAGTAGCAAATCTAATCCTGACCCAGAAGGCACCGTTTTGCATGACGGCGTACTCTGCGACAACTGCGAGATGGAACCGATCAAGGGGACAAGATTCAATTGCCAGGACTGTGGCAATTACGACCTGTGCTGTGAATGTTATGAGCAGAGAGGGACATTTCACCAGCCAGGCCACACGTTTTCTGCCTTCAAGCTTCCTCAGCAGAACCTCCTCATGGGGCAACCTGAAACGGTGACTCCAGAAGCGCTGCGAGAAATGACAGGGCGGTGTGCCGTTCGCACCGATCAGGTTCAGGGAGTCCTCCAGTCTGACGACTTGCTTCTAGAATACTACGCGTATGAACCAACATCGCGCTGGGAATCGTTCCAGACCGACCTCTCATTGCATTATTCTGTATTTGCTGTTACTTCCAGCAGCGTAGACGTTGTGGACCTCGGTGACGCAAATGACGTAAACACGGCAGCTGAGTGCTTTCGCCAGTTGATTGTCGACGATTGCCAGCCAAAGTCGACACTGTTGAAAGCCGGCTTCGAGTGCTACAAGAAGTTGCTGCAACCAGTAGATCAGTTTCTCCTAGGCAGGAAGGGGTCTTTATATATTGCGGTAGACGGCGAGCTGGGTCGATTCCCATTTGCAGCGGTGCCGATGGACGAGCAAGGTGAGAAGTTTATCTTTGATCATCCAAGTAATTTGAGCCACATAATCTCTGGATGGGCTCTGCCTCGGCTGGCTTGCCAGTCGAAGGACAAGCTTGTAGCAGACGCAGCTCATCCCTGGACAATCATAGGAGACCCCAGCTTCATTTGGGAAGAGCCCGGCAGTTCAGCGCCGCTACAGGATAAGCTGAAGAATGCCCATGCTGAACCTACATATCGAGGTCGAGGTATGGACTTTAAAGCCTTGAGATGGACAGCTGCAGAACTTGAAGGCGTGCGTGAAGTATGGGCAGCGCACATGCCAGGCACAATGGAGCCAACAATGCTTCAGAAGCAGGGTGCTACAGTACAAGCTGTTATGGAGCTTGACTCTCCCTGTCTCTTGCACTTTGCAACTCATGGCTTTTTCTTGCAACTGACAGAGCATTGGGTGAGGTGTCATCCTCATTGCCTGGTGGAGTGGGCCACAGGTGAGGCTTGGGAGTGTGCCGCGTCCCTGTATGATGAAGGCTGCAAATCCGAAAACTGCAGCGAAGGGAAATGGTATCGCTGTGTACACTGCAACTACAACTTGTGTGAGCTGTGCTTAGAAAGGTACCGCTACGTCTTACGTCCAGGCAACCGCAGCAGCAGCGTTGACATTCAGAGCAGGATGGAAGAGATCCTGCTGTCAAAGGCGGTCGGGGACCCTTTCCTGAGGGTGGGCCTAGCACTTGCCGGATCACAAAGCTTCCAGAACAACTTGGAGACCCCGAAGCATGTCGGAGATGGCTTGCTCACAGGACGCGATGTTTTGACTATGAATCTGCAAGGAACCTCTTTGGTATATCTGTCAGCCTGCCAGCTTGCCCTAGGTTCTGCAACCTATGGCACTGGACTTGCCGGCTGCGGCAGAGCCTTTCTAGCTGCTGGAGCCAAGAACCTGATAATGGCCCTGTGGGATGTGTCCGACAAGCACAGCAAGGATGTTGCAATCGGGTTCTACAAAGCTTGGCTTGATGAGGGTGTGGACATGACAACAGCACTTCGACGGCAGCAACAGATTCTTCGTCAAAAGCAGCCCTTCCGACCTGCGCTGTGGGCAGCTTTTGTCTTTTACCATGGTTACGACAGCAACTGCCCGCTGGAAGCCGACATCGCTTGAAACTAGCGTGGCAGAGAGCAAAAGCAGCGCATCTTTCCGGACATGACTGATGATGACTATGTTCTGTCCAGACCGCTGGCAGGCTGCTAGTGCGGTATAGGCTGCGCGTTCGACGCGGAGGTATCCCAAGCAAATTCCGTCTTAGATCACCTGTTTGGAAGAGGTCAGCATGGCAGAAAACCCCAACCCCTTTGTAATCCCTGTATGATGATAGCATAATCTACCACAATATGTCCTAAAAAACCATATGAGGTGAAGAGTGCTCCTGCAGCGCTGCAGGGGTCCGAACTCTGGCTGCAGTGGGCTGATGGGGCTGGGAAGGGTTCCTGAAGGATTGAAAGGTTGCTGTAAGGCTATTTCTTGAAAGGGCAAAGGGTTTTTGGGTGCGGATGGAAATTTTGCACAACCATATATGGGCCTATATAGACTGGTACTGTAGGTGGTAGGTGCAATCCCTTCTGGGACATTGACCCATGTGAGCATTTGTAGAAGGAGTTGTTTAGTGGCTGCGCTGAACACTAACTCCTGAAAGTTTAGGAGTTGGGTTCCAGGGATCTTGCTGCTGGACCAGAAGCAGGGCTCAGGCGTGATTTTGACTGGTCACTTCTTTGATATTCAAAGATTTTGGCCTCTAATCTATTGCAAGAGCTCCAGGCGCCCAGTGAACAAGCAATCAATCTCGCTGCAAGCTGTTTGCCCAGCTATCCCCCCGAAACCCCTAGCCTATAGCAGCGCTGCCTTCCTAGAACATGCGGGTACTCCCTGGATCAGCCCCTGAGACACAAACTCCAGTCATCGTCCACACACAGGCACTATCTCTGCACTTTGCTCGCAGATATCCATGGCACACCTTGCCACTGCAGGGGTCTCGGGCAGGCAGCGGAGGCTGCTAGGTGGGAAGTTACTCAAGTTACAGCCAGATTTGATTTTGCAACTGGTCGCTTCAACGTTCTTAGTCTTGCGCGAACCATGGTGTGCTGAGTTGCTTTTTTTGCATGTTATGTGTATCTTTTTGTTCTTCTTTTTTTTTCTTTCGGTGGCTGTGACTGGGACCTGTGCGAAGGGTCGCTCGTTGCTTGCGCAATTCTTAGTCTTTTTCGTGCTCGCGGTTCTCAGCTAGACTATGGCTGCTGCACCTTTATCTCACTACCAAGAAGAGCATCGGCCCCCAACCACTACTGCTACACAGGAAGATTCGACTTTACGCCCTCCGCCTTACAATCTAGCTCATAATCCTTATCCTCACGCGGTTCAGCTCTACAGCACACTTCGTCTTCCGCAGCGCGGCAGTGCATGTATTTCCACGTGAAATGCCTGTTAAGCTCGCTGCCACAGGAGCCGTAGCCTGGACTCCTAAGCCTTAATTAAGAACTGCTGCCGCCCAGGTCAGCTTCTCAGGTCCTCACGCCTATGCGCTGCCAGGTGCGCCCATGCATGTGCACTAGGTCTGAAGCATTTGTGGCTATCTGCTGGGTTTTGTAAACGGAGGTTTTGTATGCACGTGCAATCATTCCGCTTTTGTTGAGTGTATATAGATCGAGGTTCCTGAGAGAAAAATGGGTGACTGCATGCATGGACCATCCACTTTGGCGGGGGCCTCACATATTTCATCTTGATTGTTCTTAGACTCTACCTTTGACGAAGCATCCTCACCTGTTTTCTGGGATATATACCGGAACCTTGTTTGTAAGAGTAGGAAGGAAGCGCAAGAAAAAGTATTCAAGCCGAGTTTCAACTAACCTTGCCATGTTCCGGTTGACTCTCCAATATTGCTAATGATGATTGTTTCCAAAAATTCTGTTGTGGGTTCCGCTTGCTTTGAAAAAGTTGGTTTCCAACCCCAACAGGTGGCTTCACGAAGGCAAGAATCCACCTCCGTCGCAAGTCCGAGGCATGACAGGAGAGTGGCGGCCTTCGTAGAATCTGCTTATTGAACTGCAGGAAGTCTTCAGAAATGTAGGTATCATTAGAGTTGTGCAGAGGACATGTCGTGGTGGGAGTCAGGATTGCGAGCCTGAGTTTGGGGTTGATCTTTCTGTGCTTGTGGTTGAGTGGTTGAGGTCGCCTTGTGCAAGTTTGACCTGCAAGGATGGTTTTAGGGACCAATTCTTTTCTCACTGCCAGATCCCCTCAAATCTACTTCACAGCTCAGGGCTAACGCCAAGTTTAGACCCCGGATTCAGGCCGAAGGCGAATGCCGCTATCCCTAGGCTCCGTTCTCCATTCCCAGAACCTCCCAGCCCGACTGAAAGCCCTGCACACCAAGAGGGTAGAGTGTTGAGCGACTATACATGGTCGGAGCATTCGAATCGAAGAGCATATTGATGCTTTGTTCAACCACCAAGGCATTAAACAAAAAACATCCTAGAGGCGTCATCAGAGCTCCTCCTGAGCATCGAGCGTGCTGCCAAGGGCTTCGAGTCCTTTTCCCTGCCGGAGGATGGACAGGCCCTGGGGGTTCAGGGACACGGGGATTTTTTGTAGGGATCATACAGGGAATATGTCTATGCAAGCGAGTATGCAGGGAGTGCTCGATGAGGATTCCGCAAGAGTGTTCTAGAAGTCATGTTCTTTACTGCACGTTGTTTTGCGGGAGTGTAGGATGCCTGAATCTCTTCAGATACAAGTGTTCAGAATGATGATAGTGGTCAGTAGCAACAGCAGTGGTCTTGCGTAGCAATGCCATGCATGGCAAGCGTAGCAGCGGCACTTCACAGTGATTATCGATCAAGTCGATGATGATGCCGGTGGCAGACGATGATAGTAATGGCAGTAGTAGCAGTACCAGCAGCAGCAGAAGCAGCAGTCACCACTACACTGCGACAGTGTCGGATAGGGGTTTTGGGTTTCAGGGCTTGCGGGTGCTCACGGTTTTACACGAGAAGGCGGACTCAAGAGTTCTTGGTCACAACAGGAGTCCAAACATCTACATAGCAGCGTACTGCCTATGGCAAACACTCAGAGAGCAGGCATGGCGCACTCCATCAGTTTCTTTTCAACAATGCATGACTATTATTCTTGCTGGCTTGATGACTGCACGCTTTTCTCAAGAACGATACTGCTGTCGCGATTTGACTCCGCCAGGTCCATGCCTGTGACAAGTCCTCCTTCATCCAGGAGTCTGCGGAAGTCCAGTTTCGATGCTCTCCTGATGGCCAGAAGGGTTGGAACACGTAGAACTCCCACATCATGTTTAAAGAGCTCTTGTAAATTCGTGCAGTACGGGCTTAAGGGTTCGGACCAGGACCCACGCAGCTAGCACTTCATCTGAATGAAATTTCTCATCCGCACGTTTTGAGTTCATTTCCCGAATGTGCCTGCAATCTGCCTGTCGCGAATTCCGCTACTCATCGTCCCTGTTTGCGGTAAGGAGGTATATCTTAAATAAACGCGGACTACTACAACGGACGCAGACGCTCGATGCGACAATCTCTGCTCTACCCAACTCTTGGAGGAAGAGATCCTTCTGTCACATTGGTAAATGCAAGCGTTCCAGCTTCTGAGAATGATGGCCCCCCCCCCCACCCCTACAACCCCCTTTCAACCATGCAGGCATCCGCGTTGACGTGCTGGACGCACGCGAGGCTCTCGCGCTGGAAGTTGATGTTGGGGTTCAGTTGCGGGGTGTTGGGTTTGGGTTTTTGGGCCAGATTTTGGAGCTTAGGACTTTGATTGCTGTTCCAGGGGATGGTATTGCTGAGTTTATCGTGTTGTGCATGAGTAGAAGCAGTATGTCATCAGTCACCGCATACTGGTGTTCTCCCCTGTGTCTCAGCTTGATACAGCTTGTGTACATGAATATGCTGGAGGATGTACGCAAGAATTATTGCTGTTCCAATTTTTTGATGCTGGACTTGGTTTTCTTGTCAGATCACGTCATTGAATCTGTAGTATACGCTTCTTACAGTCTTATAGCAGGCATGCTGACAGCTTTTCGGCATCCAAACCTGCATGCAGGAACAAATGAGCTTCTGTCGGAGCTCAGAAGGCTATCCCTTGGACCTCCAGCCCATTATGCTGCGCTGCAAATCAGCGTTCCCACAAACCCTGCAGAACCCAAAGGCGTCAAGCTACCGAGCCCTTTCTAGATGTAGCTTGAACAGGAAGTGCTGCAATTTGGCCGGCCTAAGATGACCCGCGGAGAAGTCGAGAAGATTCCCACAAGCAATTGAAGTAGCAAGCAAGGAGCCTTTTCAACTAACGGTCACGCTCGGTTTCGTGGGCCAGTTCTTAAAAGCTGTGATTTTTTGTTTTGGGAACTTGCAAAACAGATTCCCTCTGCGGAGGATATAGGGAAGCCTTAGTTTAAAGAGATGATGCCCACGAGAAAGCTGGAAGTTGCGAAGAGGCCATCACACTCTGCTTCCCTGACCAGCGTGTAGTGGTCCATGACGGTCTGCCGCACCTTGGCATGCTCTACTTCTTGAAGGTGTGAAGGGTTGGTAAGTAGAGGTTAGATGGACCCCCCACCCAGTAATAGTGACTATAAGGGATAATGATGATTATATTAGGGTCTTCTTATAGTCCCATAATTATACCACTATTACAGGGTGGGGAGTCCTCCTAACCTATGCCACCCTAGCGTCACTGTTGGAGCGGTAGCCGCTAGAAGGGAAGCCGAGGCGGTTCCAGCCCAATTGATAGCCGCAGTTCCATGTGAGCTGTAGTGTAAACTCTTTCAAGGGGGTTATACAGGGGATTATATAGGGAGTATTATAGGGTTATCAACGGGGACGCTAGGAGTTTAGATTATAGCTCGTGTGATTCCAATGTGCACCGATGCTTCAGGCATGATCGATGCCATCCAAAGTTGATAATGGACAGGCATTCGAAGCCTCACGTATGACCTGCAGATACCCTGTGCCATGAACGGATTTTTGGTGAGTTGGGGCCAGCTGCCACTGGGAATCGCAGACTGATGATCTCCATATGAGAGAAGATTTTGAAAATACCTCAGAAGGAAAGCCCTTTCCAGCAGCTTTCCTACAAGCTGCCAACCAAGGTTGCATTTCAGATCGCCACCGGCGGGGGAGAGCTTTTTCCGCTTCCTACGCTTCTTGGCTGAGAACTTGCAACTGCAATCCCTTGAGCATTCTTAATGGTTATGAAATATGAAGGAACCTGTACAGCTCCGAAGAAACATGTCCGTATAACTTCTAAAGTGAGCTTGTATCCGAGTATAACTCAGCTGCCACTCGAATCTGAAACCTTCAGCCCAGAACTAAACACTGTAGAAGCACTACTGTAAGCCCTAGAATCCTGAGCCAGAAAACCCTGAAACTCTTAACACCTAGCCTTAAAGCCAGGAATTCCAGAAACAATCCAAAGCCCTAAAGCAACCGAGGTTTCTGGGGCCTCCTCGCCTGGGCGAGAGACTTCCTCCGGCTCCTTCGCCCCAAGCCGAAGTTGGCCTAAGGAACAAAAAAGAGCGCAGGAGCTTGGGGGGCCTAGATGATGAATAGGTATAGGGATCCCTTTGAAAGAGTTTACAGACTTATAGGGGGAGGTGGGATGGGTACGGGGATTTGTCGGGTTTTAGGGCGGGTTTAGGTGAAATCAGTGCTTGAGGTTTCGAATTTGGGGTTTGTGGGTTTGTGGGGCTTTGCTGCCTTTAGTTTAAGCATGCATTTGGCTGAGGGCGTTTTCACATCCCTTGCTCGGTCAGTATGTTGTACTAAAAAACGGGTCATTCCTGCCATGACGCGTGCTTGCAACCAACTCCTGTATGGCGCTACTTGCGATATCATTCTTCTTACCATGGCCCTTGCCATCAGCGACTCAAACTTGATTTCTACCATATTGCAAAACAACCATACAGATAGCGCGCTGCCTCCCGTCGGCCAAGGGGGGATGCCCCCCATCCCTCAGCCAAGCCACACGCCATATCAAAACCTTCAAAACCCGAAAAGAAGGGCACCCCTTAATCCCAAGGTTTGAGAAAAAGCTTCAAATTATTTGTCGTATTCTGAATTCTGACGGCGCGACCCGTTCCGGGGTGAATTGCCAAGAGTTGAACCCCCCCACTCATACAGCAGATGCCTGATTTGAAGCACCATCCTACACATGGGGTGTTCGGAAGGTTGTTTGGGGTGACCTGGCAAACAACAGCAGCCTCAAGCTTCGGATCCCACAAGATCTGCTTAGGCGAAAGCTAGGTTGACATGCAGTAGTGTTATTGTGCAATCAGGCTGAGGGCTTTCTGGGACAGGTTGAGAGTAACAGTCACCTCCAGGATGATTCGGAGGAGATCAACCTAGGCCGCTGAATCAGACAGTCTGATACTGAAAGACAGCCCTGGAATTCGTATGGGGAAATGGATGTGCTACTTCTTTTGGATAGCTATCTAAAGAGACTGCGCCTTGCGGGTTGTACTGTACGTGTTCGAACATCTGGTTGGTTGAGCATGCGGGTGCTCCCCAAAGGAGGCCCAGTCCCGGCTACATAGTCAAAAATCCTTGAACCTGGGGGCCCCCCAACAATGGGACCCTCAAATCTTGGAAGCACCCATCTTACAGCTATAGTTGCCCTCTGACTTCTGGCAGGATGGGATTGTGGTTGCTGTTACTTATCTGTTAGTGTTGTCATTCTAAACTATGGTCATAACGCATTTGCGTATCTGGGTGTGTGATATGATCCTTATGGCCTTGAATATCCCCCACTCGAAGTCCAATATAATCTCTTAATCAATCCTGCTGACTGTAAATCCTGCCACGCAGTGCGGAAGTTCTTCTGTTAAGTGTCCCAAAATAGTACCCTAAGGCTCCAAATAGCCCAATGTGGGTCATATTCATAGACTTTGGGGCCCAATGTAGGTATTATTTATAGACATGGAGCCCTAGGAGTGGTTCCCAAAGGTGGCTCATGCCATGGAGAAGGTGATGGCCAGGCCGCGACTGGACCAGGCTCTGCAGAATGCAAGGGCTGCGGGGGAGGAATAGGCAGTAACATAGGCTCTGAAGTTGCGAGGCTTCTTTAGCCCGACTTTTCCTGCAAGGCAACATCATCAGAAGATCATTCATGGTTCTTGCAGTTGAAGAGGGGCAAGGGACAGGCCTTTTGGGGCAGCACTGCCAGTCTCCGGGATTTGCTTGCAGTCCTTCCTTAGCGGCCGCCCTGTTGCAGGTTAAAGGCAGCTGCTATTTTGTCACCCGGAAAGGTTCTTGTATGTTGGTACGTAGGCTGTGGGAAGCACGAGGAAACGAGAGAGAGAGGGAGAGAGAGCGAGAGCGAGAGAGAGAGGGACTCTTTGTATCGGCTATTGCTTGCGGTCTGACTAAGCGACTGGAACCCTCAATAAAAGCATGCGCTGGCACCCAACTCTTGTGATATCATCCTGTTTGTGGTTCTGCTTGAACGCCGTGATCACGCACGTCACTTTTGCTGTTGAGAAAGGACCAGCAAGGAACCATTGTCTCACGTCAATCGGACCCGAACTGCACAGTACCGGGGCCAACAGGGTTTCCCCGTCATCCCCCGTATTGCAAAGCAAAGCAAAGAGAGAGGGACTCGTATACAAGGCCTGTAGGACTGTAGGGAGAATGGAAAAGAAAATGGAAACTAGAACAGTAAATCGGGGTTATATGGGATAAAGGAACATGGAAACTACTATAGTAAATTGGGGCTGTTTTTGAGGAAGTTCCACTATGGCTGATGTGTACTGATGCTGTCTCAGGAGAGAATGTTCTCCTTGCCATTTCTGCTCCAAAGGCAGCCCAGGCACTTCGGATCAGTGGAGCTCAGTTGAAACATCGAGATAGACTGTGGAACTCAAGTACATAGGTTGCTTGATTTACTGGTCATCTTTGCCTATGTCTTACCTTGCAAACCATGGCCTCTAACTACCCGGCCACCACCGGCACCATTGCTATCCCCAAATCATTGAATCACCGCGATCCTGATACGAGCTTGAGGTGTAAATGTATCACTAGAACAGACATCGCAGCCAGCAAAGCAAGCAAAGCCACAAAAGCCAGCCTTTCAAATGTGTTCAGCTCCTCAATTCCATCAACGCTGTGCGTCCCACTAGCCATGGACTCTACCATGCGCCCTTCATCTCCTTGGAAGGAGATGAGGTTTAGCACCGCGCAAAGCTCGCGAGTGCCAGCTCATGTCCATCAGGGAACGGTTTACGTCATCCCGAAGAGGAACCCACCCAATACTCACCCGGCGCTGGCTGCCTGTGCTTTTACCATCTCGGCCGCGGCTTGTGCAGCTCATGGAGCAAGAGTGTCACGGCGCCGCTGTCTCTCTCTGCTTCAACGGGCAGGCAAGGGGCAAAAGCAGTCGCGTCATACCCACGCCTAACTAATGTATACAGGGGCGGCCCGTACTTGTCAATTTCGGACAGCCCACGAAGCAGAAATGTATACACGGGGGAGTCTGGATTGGCTAGGTGGGATAACATATACTGTATACTGGAATGCAAAGCATTATCATCAAATCCGCCCTGCTGCCCATCTTGCAGGCACTGATGGCTTCCTAGTGGAGGCCAGCGAGGCCACCACGCAGCTTCCCTCCCCACTGAGTTTGGGGAAGCTCCTGACATGGGCACGGAAGCAGGAGTTCCTAAGACCATCTTCAGCAATCTTTTCTTCTTAACCTACACAAGATGAATGCATAGATCTGAGCACCTGAGCAAGGTTCATGAAGGTGCACCCTGTGCTCTCGGCAACCCCCCAGCTCTTGGCATCAGAAACCTGACAGCTTTAGATAGATTTTCTCTGCTTATTGTTCTTGCTTGCTGCCCCTAAGCCCTAGAAAGTTTAACTGCTCTTTCGGCTCACCCGTCCCCAACTAGAAACACACAGTGTCTTTTTTGGGGTTTTTGTTCATCAGGAATGATGTTAAATGCGTTGGGCATCCCTCTTTGTTAGATGTTCTAAGACCATTGTTCGAATCACGCATTAGAAGTTTAGGAGGGCCAGGTTGCGGATTATCGGCAATTACAGCGACCTCAGCGGGTCTCACTCCCAATGGTGCTGTAAGTAGAAACACCTTCACTAGAATCCATCATCTGAGCTATAGTCTAAACTCCTTAAAGGGGGGTTATACAGGGGGTTTTATAGGGGACTACTATAGGGGCTATTAAGGGGGGGGATACTAGGAGTTTAGACAATGGCTCATCTAGGGCAAAGAGTCCCTTGCTTGAGGTTTTGGAACGAGAGTCTATAGCAGAAGTAAGCCTTCATCTTTTTTAGAAGCATTATGAATCAGGTACCGATCGAAGCAGGGACTCCACTTCTTGGCGTCTTAGGGGATGGCTTCCTCAGCGCTGAGCCACTGGATCGTGATGAATCCCCTCCCCTTGGACGATGGTGTGTAGGGAGTAGAGGGGGTTTCGATTTGGGGCAGGGGGCAGGGTTTAGGGTTTCTGGGACTAGAGGGGCGGACTAGGAATGCTATTCTGTATGCCAAGGCTTATGTATGGTTGTACTTTAGCACTGCCCGGAATACCGCACTTCCTCCTTGCTAGTTCGTCTACTGTAGCTTGAAAGCCCCCTGGAAGGGCACAAGCCTCCAGGTACGGAGAAGCCCTTAAATCCTACACTCAAAATTGTAGTTTCCAAAAATTTTGGGACCCCAATATAAACCCCACTAATACTAGAATCCTTATCATAGGGACACCCAAAAAGGGAACCTCTACTTTGGGCAACCCCCAAATCCCAATCCATGAAACCCAAACTGTAAGCACCAAACCTAGACTCCTAAAACACAGGTCAGCCTGCCACCCAAAGCTCTGAAACCCCAACCCCGGAAGCCCTACTCAGCTTCTGCGACTAGGGTTTAGGGTTTAGGGAACAAAAAGGATTCAAGTACCCAAATAATTAGGGCACCTGAAACCTCAATATTTGGGCGCGTGGAACCTTAGGATAAGTTAGTTAGGTCTGACAACGCCTTGGGGGATGGTCCCTGGGAGCAGCTCTACCAGACTGCGAAGCTTGCCTAGACGTAGGGGGTTTGAACAAATTAGGATTCTAGTATACCCCTAGTTATGCACACTACCATGTATAGACCCTAGTTATGAATACTACCATGTATAGACCCTAGTTATGAACACTACCATGTATAGACGTTCTCTGGAAGAAAGATGCTGGGATCGTGCAGCTGGGGACTAGGAATTTGGCGGTATGAGGTGCGGTTCAGGATAAGGGCGCAGGCTTCGTTTTGCATCTTGCCGGGTGTATGTGTGGCTGATTCCTCAGAAGTTTGGCTGAGTGTACATACCGGGTGCTCTTCGGAAGGTTGAGAAACAGCTGAATAAGGCTTGAAGGCGGATTCTACTGTGCCCGCAAAAGGATTGTATGAGGGAATCATATCGGTTGTTAATTATTTGCGGATTGGAGACAGTTGGACAGTTGGAGTAACCCCTCGAGTGGACCTTCTACAGGGCTGTTGGGATTGCGGTGTAGGACGTA